CTGATTGTGTGTATATGTGTCCAAACTACTGTTTGTGAGAGTTATATCACAGCCTAGGAGTCCAAGCTAATAAGGCACATAGCTTTTTCTTAGTCAAGTCTTAAGACACACACACGCGCGCACACACACACACACACACACACACACACAAAACCAAACAAAACAAAGCAAAAGTAAGCTATTAATACCACCTCTCTCCAGTTCCTCACTCCCTTTACATGAAGTCAGGTTGTATTTTGGTGTCGTTTAGCATGACTCCATAATTACAGATGTAATAGGGGTAGATTCCAGAAATTTGATTGTGATCTTTTTACCTTTTAAAAAAAATAACTTATTTGACCATATTGTTAACTTTCTTTTAATGTAGTTTTATTGATTTTAGAGAGAGAGAGGGGAAGCGGGGGGAATAGAAAGCTAGAAACATTGATGAGAGAAACATTGATCATCTGCCTCCTGCACGACTCCTACTGGAGATCAAGCCCACAATCTGGGCATGTGCCCTGACCAGGAACTGATCCAATGACGACCTGGTTCATGAGTCAATGCTCAACCACTGAGCCACACCAACCAGGAGGAAATGTGCTTTTTAATAGACCTGTTTCATGTATGCTCTGGGAATACAAAGGTGGTCAGGACAGTCCTTTCCCCTTACTAGATGATCATACAAATGAACAGATAAGGGTTCACCCAAGCTATGGACAGAACACTTACAGGCACCCAGGAGAGGGAGTGGCTGCTCCCACTGAGGAAGGCTAGCCATCCTGGGGTTGTACAACCAGTTAGTGTAGTGCTTGCTGTCTAGCAGGTAGGCCACTGGAAAGTGTTGCATCTGCTGCTTCCTCCAATGCAGCAGGCATCATGTGTGGAATGAAAGAACGCATCATCCTCTACTGTCCTGCCCTAGGAGCCACGCACGGATGAGGAGCTCAGGGATGCAGGGAGGACTGGCCAGCTGGTCACTGCTCTCATTCCTGACAGACCTCTTGCAGGTCCCCCTGTCATGTGGCAGAGGGAGTTAGAAATTTTGTTTGGCTTATAAACAGGAAACGGGTCCAGGCTTTATCCAGCTGCTTATTACCTGGGCAGGCTAAAGCTAGTCTCCTGGATCCTTGCAAAGGCAGGTGATAACAGCTACATATTAGGGTTGTTTGGGGAATAACATTAAATATCTGATACATAAACTGCTCAGCATTGTGCCTGACAGGAGCCAGTGCTAATACGTAGTATTTATTTTTATTAATGGACCTCTATTTGTGTACCCAGAGCTGACTCATCCTCAGGCCATCAAAGCCAACCTCCATATTTACAATGGCTCTTAACTGTTCTGCCCAGATCCCTGGAGGGCTAGGACACCCTCCGAGCTGACCCACCAGGGCTCTGATTCTCAATCTGGGACCCATTCTTCCTAGCTCAGGTTGACTTGAGAAAAGTCTGCGGGTTATTTGAACCCCTTCCTGGCCCCCACTGAAACTTTTTGCTTAGGGCAGTGAGTCTTAAGCAGGGTGCCTGTTAGCATCCCCCGCAGAGCTCTGTTAAAATACACAAACTGCGTTCCACTATGACTCACTGGACTTGCATCATGGTGGAGCACTGACTGGGAAGTGTGTGTTACCTTTCCCGGCAATCTGATAAACAGGCCTGGTTAAGGGATACTGTCTTTGTGGATGTCTGTCTGCTCAATGTTGTTTTACTAAGCTAGCATAGCACCGAATCTTCCAGCAAAAAGTAGTGGTGGCCAGTAAGTTTTCAAAGCTCAGAGAAACTGGCCCTAGGCCTATATCAATTTTAGGATAAAAGACTCCAAACCCAGAAATTAAGAAACCAATTGGCTATTTGGGAAGCATTTAGAAAATGTGATGAGAGGTGTAATGCACGGGCTAGTGGCAGAGATTTCAAGGAAGAAAAACACTGTGGTCTCTGTTTCCATTTCGCCCTTTGCTTCTGAAATGAGAAAGGAAGGGGAGTGTGTTCGCAGCTGGTGCAGAGATGGGCAGCGAAGGCCCTTCAATACTCAGCCCTATGCTCTGCGAACAACACGGCGAACCCCAGATTGCCACGGGCTTTGGTTTTTGTCTCAGCTTTCATTCTTGCCGTTTGGGGCTCCTGGTTGCTGTGCTAAGATGAGTGTAAACACAATTCCAACGGAGCCTCGTGCAAAGTTTCTGCTCCTGCCAAGAGACTCAGCTGAGTTCTGAGTAAAGATGGGAAATGATGGGCCGATGAAGGAGGAAATTCTGCCTTTTCAGTCTTGAGGTGATCCAGAAAAGGGGATGAGAGAGACTCCTCAGAATTAAGACAGGAAGGGGAGTTCAGCCCCTGACCACTCACCCCATCCCTCCAAGCAAAGACTGGGAGATAAAGGTACTGCAGTCAAATGAGATACCTGTGAAGTACTTTAGCTGGACTCCGTGACTATTTACATCGAGAGCAGCAGCATCAATAACTTTATCATTGATGCTCAAGGTCCCGAATTAGTCTCCCCACCCCCACCGGAGCCTGCATCCTGCTGGGCAGAGGGGATCTGTTCAATCCTTGGAACTTCCGGCTAAGGTAACTGCATAAGCTTTTGCTGTAAGAACTTTCCCTGAGGTCTAATCTCTTTTTTGCTGACAGTTCCTATCCTCCTGAGCCTTCCTCTTAAACTGCCTACTGCTTATTGGAACAGTGCAAATAGCCCCATACAGACCGGTGCTCTAGAAACGGTTACAATTTATTAAAGGACATCAAGCATGCGGAGAAAAACAAGCCACTCGCCTCAGCTCTGTGCTATACCCATTGCAGAGGACATGGAAAACCTCTCTTCTCTTGGCCAGCACCCTCCCTCCCCTTACTAAGAGATGGGGTCTGTGTATCTGGGGAGGGAGGGGAGCGGGAGGGTGGATTCTAGCTTTCTTGCCGCAATCAAGACCCAGTGGTTCACAGCTGTCCAGAGCTGGGTATCCAGCGAGGCAGGGTCCAGGCCTGTTGGATCGCGAGAAGGGTGGGCTCTGCCAGTCCAGGGTGGGTGTCAGTCCTGGGCTCTGATGCAGGACGCGCCTTTCCTTTGTCTGACCTTATCAGACAAATCCCCGCTCCCGCTGAAGGCAGACACACGAAGCATATATGCTTTAGAAAGATGTCTGCAAACATGACGGTGCAATTTAAAATCTGGGTCCTACTTTCCTGAACTCGGACCCAAACCTGTCCTGAGAGAGGAGAAGGCGCTTTCGGCAAAGGACTGCAGGGGCCGGAGGAGGCGCCGGGGCAGGCGGGTGGCTTCCCTGCGGTGACCACCGGCGGCCAGCAGGTGTCAGTGCGCCCTCGCTCCGGCGCCGCGCGGGCCTCCGCCTCCGGGACCCCTCCCCGCCGCGGGCTCAGGGGGCGCGGTCCAGACCCGGCATCGCTGGGCTCTCACGGACAGCTCTGCTGCGGGGACCACACGCGGCCACCCTCCCCCCATTGCAGCTCTGAACTCTGCCTGAGGCTGCTCCCCCCGAGGCGATCCCCCTTCCGCCCCAGGGGGGTCGATCGGCACCTGTGCCTCCTTTCTCCCCGGGACTCCCCTCGCCGCGGCCGCCAGGAGCACTTACGGTGGAGGGCAGCCCAGCGGCCCAGGGCGGGGCTGCTCCGGGTGCAACCCGTCCCGATGGGGTGGCCGCTTTTCCAGATTCGGGTCACATGCGTCTCCAACCCCTTTCCTCCCAAGACCCAGCTGGATGGGGACACTCCCGGGTGCCCGCTGCTTCCTCCGGGGCCGGCGGTAGCTGCTCTGCCTGTTCCCAGCAGGGGCCGCTCCCCGCTCCCCGGGCGCTCCTAACCCCCGCGCTCAGGGCGCCCGCCTCTCCCAAGGGCAGGTCCCGCCGCCGCCGGGGAGGCAGGGCTCCCCCGGGTCAGGCGCGGGGCACGGGCTCGGGACCCGCGCGGAGGGGAGGCGCCAGGGGCGGGGGAGGGTCGGCTTCCCACGTGGGGGCTGACGCCGGCTGCTCGGCAACGCCGGCCTGATCCCGGGGCTATAAAACCAGTCCACGGCGAGCGAGCGCGGCGAGCAGCAGCGGCAGCAGCTCGGCTTCCGTGCAGGCGCCGCGGCCCGGCCACCCGGCACTGTCCGCCCGGCCCGGCCCGGCCCGGCGCGCCCGCCTCCATCCCCGCTGCCTTCGCACCGGCCGCTCCGGCTGCGCTCAAGCGCCCCAAGACCCCTCTGCCCGGACTGCGGCTCCCGGAGGGTCCACTGCCCACCCGCCCGGGGGCGCCCGAGCACGGGGGGCGCCTTAATGCGGTCCCCACACCTCTCGCCCGTCGCCGCCGCCGCCGCCGCGGAGCCCCGCGCGCCGCGCCCCGGCCCCGGCCGGGCACCCAACTTCGGAAGGCGCGCGGCGCGCCCCGAGACGGCAGAGTCCGCGCCCGGGCCCCGGGCCTGGCCCCGCCGGCCCCGCCGCGTCTGGGGGCAGCAGGGGAGCCGGTGATCGCTGCGGGGATGTGAGGAGCCGGACGTAGGACCCGAAGCCCGCCATCCGCACCCCCTCGGCTGCCTCCCGGCGTGGGGGCGGCCCCCTCGCACACGGTAAGACCTCTCTCGCTTTTTGCTCTGGCTCAAGAATCAAGAGATAGATTTAATATATTTTTAATTTCCTGTTATCTTTCCAAGTGACCAGGCCGGCGGTGATTTTTTTTGTTCTCTCTCTCTTTCTCTCTCCCCGTGAAGAATACATCTCTTTTCCCATCGCTCGGCTCGACCTACTCTCCCGCCGCCGCCTAGAAATAAAAGTTGGCTGCTTGCAGGAGCTGCGAGCCACCAGGCGATCGCCCACCCCGGGCGGCGCCCGGAGCGCGGACAGGGGGCGCCGTTGGCTGGAGGCAGGGCCCCATGGGCCCCAGCTAGCGGCTCCCCAGCTCCAGCCGGACGTCCCCGCGGCCCCCACCCCATGTGAGGCGGGAGGAAGAGGAGGACCCCACGGGCTCCGCGAGCCGGAAGGCTGCTGGCACCGGGCCCAGGCGAGCGGAGCGGGCACCTCGCCGCGTCCATGTTCCGCCAGGAGCAGCCGCTGGCCGAGGGCAGCTTCGGGCCCATGGGCTCCCTGCAGCCGGACGCCGCGGCCGCCGGCAACGCGAGCTGGAACGGGACCGAGGCGCCCGGGGGCGGCGGCGCCTGGGCCGCCCCTTACTCCCTGCAGGTGACGCTGACGCTCGTGTGCCTGGCCGGACTGCTCATGCTGCTCACCGTGTTCGGCAACGTGCTGGTCATCATAGCCGTGTTCACCAGCCGCGCGCTCAAGGCGCCCCAGAACCTCTTCCTGGTGTCCCTGGCCTCGGCCGACATCCTGGTGGCCACGCTCGTCATCCCCTTCTCGCTGGCCAACGAGGTCATGGGCTACTGGTACTTCGGCAAGGCGTGGTGCGAGATCTACCTGGCGCTCGACGTGCTCTTCTGCACCTCGTCCATCGTGCACCTGTGCGCCATCAGCCTGGACCGCTACTGGTCCATCACGCAGGCCATCGAGTACAACCTGAAGCGCACGCCGCGCCGCATCAAGGCCATCATCGTCACCGTGTGGGTCATCTCGGCCGTCATCTCCTTCCCGCCGCTCATCTCCATCGAGAAGAAGGGCGGCGGCGGGCAGCAGCGGGACGAGCCGCGCTGCGAGATCAACGACCAGAAGTGGTACGTCATCGCGTCCTGCATCGGCTCCTTCTTCGCGCCCTGCCTCATCATGATCCTGGTCTACGTGCGCATCTACCAGATCGCCAAGCGCCGCACCCGCGTGCCGCCCAGCCGCCGCGGCCCCGCGGACAGCGCGCCGCCGCCGCCGCCGGGGGGCGCCGCCGAGCGCAGGCCCAACGGCCTGGGCCCCGAGCGGCGCCTGGGCCCCGGGGGCGCCGACGCCGAGGCCGAGACGCTGCCCGCCCAGCTCAACGGCGCGCCCCCGGGGGAGCCCACGCCCGCGGCGGCCGCCGGGCCCCGCGACACCGACGTGCTGGACCTGGAGGAGAGCTCGTCGTCCGAGCACGGGGAGCGGCCCCGGGGCTCCCGCCGGTCCGATCGCGGCGGCCGCGCCAAGGGCAAGGCGTCCCGGGGGAGCCCGGCGCGGCCCGGGGACAGCCTGCCGCGGCGCGGGCCGGGCGCGGGGCCCGGGGCGCCGGGGAGCGGCCCCGAGGAGGAGCGGGGAAGCGGGGGCGCCAAGGCGTCGCGCTGGCGCGGGCGGCAGAACCGCGAGAAGCGCTTCACGTTCGTGCTGGCCGTGGTCATCGGCGTGTTCGTGGTGTGCTGGTTCCCCTTCTTCTTCACCTACACGCTCACGGCCGTCGGCTGCGCCGTGCCGCGCACGCTCTTCAAGTTCTTCTTCTGGTTCGGCTACTGCAACAGCTCGCTCAACCCCGTCATCTACACCATCTTCAACCACGACTTCCGCCGCGCCTTCAAGAAGATCCTCTGCCGCGGGGACAGGAAGCGGATCGTGTGAGCGAGGGGTCCGTCCCCGACGACCCCCGATCCCCCTGCAAAGGACGCGCGCGGACCCCGGGCGGCGGATCCGGGGGTGCGCGTCCACCCGGACCTGGCGCGCTGACCACCCGGCCAGCCGGCTCCGCGCGCCCCAGCCTGGGGGCTGCTCTGTGGCCTCCTTGGGAAACCTGCTCTTCCCCACCAGGGAAGAAGACTGGCTGGGAGGGCCACACGCCTTCCCCTTCTTACCTCCCCCCCCCCCCCCCCACCACCATTTTGTTAGGGCCTCTCCGGACTCTTCCAGGAGCGATCTTCCAGGGCCCTGGGGCCGCCCCTAATCAGTATTGTTTCCTGAAGGCTTTTTCACCTCTCCGGAGCCCAGACAGAGCAGTTCAGAGCCATCGCTGAAGCCCAGAGGACGTGGCTCTCCAAGGGTTAACTACAGGGGTTACCTGGCCCTGGCCCTCTGCTCTCCCCTCCCCCTCCCCCTCCCCCCATCTCTATTTTTAAACACAACTCAGGGCAGCCCAGCCCGTCCTCCCATCCCCATCCTCCCCTGTAAATAGACACTATTTTTGATAGGACCAGCGGGGCGGGGCGGGGGTCCCAATGTCGCTTGGCTTTTGTCGTTGGAATCCTGGCTGTGGGAGATGCCCTCGAGGCAGACACGTTGTGTCTGGGGCAGGGCAAGCCCCTGGGCAAAAATGCAAGCCCTTTTCTAGTGCCATGACTGACTTCCCTCCGTGTCCTTTTCCACCAGCAACTGGTGACTGTCCCTTGGGGCCTGGCCCTGCTCTGAGATGCCCCGAGGGGGAAAAGATTTGTCCATTTTCTTTCCTGTGCCTCACAGCATAATTGCCTTTTCCTATGTAAATAGTGCCGTGATGGACCAAGACAGAAGCAATGAGCCTTTCTGGCTTGCATCAGCCCCGTGTACAAAGCCATCACCCCCTCCATTGCACCTTTTAACTCACTTTGAAACCTCCTTCGGATGTCCCCCTCCCTCCTTTTCTCCGGGGCCACTGCTTGAAGAATATGTATGTTTCTATTCTGTGTGTACGTGTGCGCCTCCCTGTCTCCCAGAGTGCTGACTGTGGGGAAATCGTGGAGCTGCTGTTTTTAGACACAGAGAAGTGTAAATTATGTGGAAGAGGCAAACCTGATACAATTTGCCCAAGGTAAACAGCTCGAACAGACAGATGGGCCTGCCAAACTGTACAGTTCCTGCCCAAGAGCTCTTAGGTATCCAAGTGTTGTCCTTCCCCCAACCTCTGTGTTTCCGGTTGAGATCCTGTCACTGATGATTTCCCAAAGTCAACGGAGGAGGGCGGAGACCTCGTGTTTACAGGAGTTTCTACACGTTTCGGACAGAGACTCTTTAAGGCTTGCACTCTCACTTTACTAAAGAAAAAATTAATGTCAGCACATGTTGCTAATGACAGTGGATTTTTTAAAATAAAAAAAGTTTACAGATCAAATGTGAAATAAACATGAATTAAATGCTCTTGCCTGTTATCTGAGTTTCCAAAAGCTTTAAGACTCCGAGAACATCTTTAAATGGAAAAATACATGCATTTTATAAAACACTTTTACAAGTGCAAGTAACAATGAAGGTACTATTTACTAAGGGGTTTTTGTTTGTTTGTTTTTAATGTGCTGGACACAATGAGGAGCCCACTATAGGTTTTCCTTCATTTAATCTTCCCATGAATTAAGCACTATTATTATGCCCATTTTACAGGTGAAGAAACTGAGTCTCAGAGGGCAAGTGATTAGCCCAAGGTTAACAAGAGGTGGAAATGCTTCGTATCCAGCGATGTCTGGTTCCAGGGTCTGTATTCTTAGCCCCAGAGCTTGCCAGAGTTGCAGGGTTATCACTCTGCAGAATGCTGCCAGCAGGGACGTCTCTGCACAAAGTGGTGCCATGTACACAAAGTATGGGCTATATCCCAGGTGTGTGGATATACACGGAGTGTGCACATACCGCAGGGTGCCTATATGCCCTAAAGTGTGTACCTACTCCAAAGGCATGTGTGCCCCTGAAGTATGGCACATGCACCAAGTGTGGAATATACTTCAAAATGTGTATCGCACCTTGCGGTATGATAATGTACAGCATATGGCGTGTAGCCCGTGGTGTGGTATTAAGACCTAAACAGAAGCATGTGTTGGTTGGTGGCTTGAAATCTCTCTGGCCCAAAGCGGGGAGGGAGACTGTGTCACCTCACAGTTTTCTGTCTGTCCTGCTGCGTTGCTGTAATATCAAGTTCTGCCCTGCTGTCCAGGGGAGCTTAAGATCCTCACTGCACGGTGATGGTTATACACTCTGATGGTTATACACACTGAGGGTTATGCACAGGCCCTTAGAAATCCAAGAATCCGACCCCTCATTTTCCAAGGGGAGTGGCTTGCACAGCATGCCACAGCTCTGGGTGAGGGGGCTCAGGACCCACGCTGCCTCCTGCAGCTGGAGGCAGCTGGAGCCGCTCTGTCTAATCACACACACAGCTGGTGGAGAACTATTCATCCGGGAGCTGGACTTGAGGGGCCATCACCAGCCACAGGCCATGGTTTGAGGAAGGATGGATTTTGTAAGGACGGACTTTGTAAGGTCCTGGAGCACCCTCTGGGTAGCACTTGTCTCCTTTAACTATTTTAGTGGGGGACAGGAGGGTATCAGGATGGAGAGCTCTGAGAAGTCATCTGGGTCCTGAGGGGTCTTGGGTTGAGGGAAGGCATCGTTCCCAGAGGTTTTTAGAGAGGTGGGAACAGCTGAGCCTGCAGACAGGAGGGTGGGCAGGCTGCTGCTTCCAGTGCCCTTTGCCTGGGGGCTTCATACCATGTCTGGCTGCCTGGTCTGGTGCTGAGCTCTGCTCCCTGCCCCACTCCCCCGGCTTTCTCCCTCCCCCTCAAGACACCCATCGCCCCAAAGGCAAACAGTGCCAGACACTAAGCCAGCCTGGCAGGCCCCCAGGAACTAGGCTGTGTGTTTCAGACGCAGGGCAGATACAAACAGTGCTTGCTGTTGACTCTTCTGCTCTGTCTGCGGGTCTGTGTTTGTCTTGCCTTCACCCCCAGAGGCCCTGCTCCCGGGGAAGGGGGAAGTGTGGGTAATGGTGTCTATAGGGCAGGCCTCACCCCCACTTTTCCAGCTGCAGAGATGCCTCAGAGATGGAGGAGTCCTGGGCAACATGGGGAGAGAGGGCCGGAGTCGGCAGGGGCATGACTGTTCATAGCAGAGGGCTCAGACAAGTCTGCAAAGGTGAGGGGTGGGAGCGGGTTGGAGGAGGAGAGATGACCCTCCTGGGGGTCTTACTGAGAGATCAGGAGCTGAGACCGTCACCGTCACCTCACAGCTTCCTGTCCACATCTGTCCGGATTACCAGCCCAAGAGGACTTGTCTTCACGATGGAATCTCCTATTTTATGTGACTTTGGTTAGTGTATCAAAAGCCTCTGGCCTTTGGATCTAAAGCAGGTTTGGCCAGATTTATTCCTGCAAGGAATAAATGGTTGGTGGCTTGAAATCCTGAGTTGGAGGAGGGGTAGTGCCCTCGCTTGAGCCTGGGTGCAAGACTTTATTCAGTATCTTCTGTGCCTTGGGGCTGGAAAGGAGGGTGACAAAAAAGTGCCTTTGGTTCCCCCTCTTTTTGACTCGATAAGCAAATCAGGGTTTTAGAGCCAGAAGTTCCCACACACATGCTCCACTCCACTATTGTGCTGCTGAGGGACCAGAGACCTATAATAGAAAGGGTGACTGGTTATGGGACCTTGAGGGGAACCTCAGCCTACTGCTCCCTGACTCTGTCTGATGCCATTGATATCCCTCAGGAATCCTGTTTTGCTGTTGGATCGGTGAGCTGCTGATCAACCCCAGAGGAGCCCTCTTTGCTGGTTCTGTGCCAAGCACCATGCCAGGCCCTGTGAGGCAGCTCTCTCCCTTCCATGCCTGTGTCCCGCAGAGCCCAGCGCTGGTCCCTAAGTGATCATTAGGGCTGCCCCGTGCTCTGGAAGCATTAAGGCTGTCGGTGTGTGTGTGTGTGTGTGTGTGTGTGTGTGTGCTCAGGATGTGCCGGTGTGAAGCACTCAGTAGCCATACAGCAGTGACAGCGTGGCGGGGGTCAGTGGATGCTGAGTGCCCTGAAGGTCATGGCATCTCTCTGAACTGTGGTGTACGCAGTGGGGAGAGGTCGCTGCAGCTGGGAGCTCAGGGAGTACCATGTGGGAGGTGGGGTGCCAGGACTATAACCAAGGAAGGCGGGGAGGTGGGGGGGCAGGGAAGGCAGCTCTGGTTCCAGCAGCTGAGCCCTGTGGAAGCTCTGCACAGCCTGGGGCAGGCCTCAGCTTTCATTTCTCCAACCTGATCCCCCTTCGAGGACACCCATCATCCCAGGAAACCTAGTCCCTGACTCAAATAGAGCAGCAGGATCCAAGCACCCAGGCTCCTGCCGTGGTCAGCGCCAGCGCCCACCACCAGGCGGGAGTGCAGGCGTCTGCCCTGGGGCCTGAGAGTCTGTGATGCTGGGAAGGGCGCCTCCCAGGGCAGCCATGCGGAGTCACGCAGCACCATCACGGACACCAGGAATTGTTTTGAAAATAGCATCGATCTTTTCGATTACCAGAAACCCTGGGGCTTGGAGTTAAACATACAAAGGGAACAAGGCCTGCTGGAAAGAGCCTGGGCCTGGGAGTGAGGAGGCCTGGGTGCTAGTCCCAGCTTTGCCTTCTACCGGGGGGTGTGACCTCACACAAAGTCCTTTCTGAGCCCAGTTACTCCATTTATTAAATGAAAATGGCTAGTCTAGACCAGTGTGATTTCAAAGTGTGTTCCGCAGGATTTAATGAACTACAAAATCAACCTCAATCTCTCTCACACACACAAGTGTTTATCATCTATCACCTGCCTATTGACATCCTCTAGAGGGAGAATTGCCGGGGTAAGCGACGGTAACAGGTACTTTTCTTCAGGGCGCCTCAGAGCCGCGACTATGCCTGTGTGGTTGTGATTCTGAGAGGGGCG